CGGAATGTACATCGTTTGTACGTGAATGTACAATAATAGTTATTATTTGTACATTCCTGATTAATTAAAAAAATATAACAAAGTTTTAGTAACTAGATGAATAATAGTTAGCCCCCCTATTCTATAGTTATTGTATCTAAACGGTTATTTAGGAGTTTATTGTACTTAATCGTTTGTACATCGTTTGTACTTTATTTATAACTGATATAACTTTTCATTTAAACATTTACTTCTTCTGTAAAATGTAAATAAATATTTTTCATTAGAATATGGGGGGAAAATCTTCGTTGGTTGGTCAATTCTATCAACGTCAGGACTAAAAATGGCTTCCCAAATAGCACATGACGTCCTCAGGACCATCCTGAATATGTCCTAGGACGTCCTGGGATGCCTTGAGGAAAATTGAGAATATATTCTCAGGACGTTTTTGGGATGACCTTAGGATGTCCTTTATAGGATATCCTTAGGATTTCTTTAGGATATATTTGAGAGAACATGAAGACGTAAAGCCACAGAACATATTGAGAGCAGTATAAAGGCATGTTCGGAAAAGCCATAGAACGTCCAGTATAAATACAGAGACGACGTCCTAAGAACATTTTTAGGATTTCTCTGAAATATTCGATCTTATACACAAATGTGACTGGATGTGATAATACATATTATGAATCAGCAAATAATGAAATTATTGATATCACTGATCATTTATCACAGGCACTATTTTTTATGAATGTTTATTTAGATATTTTGTGTGTGTGTGTATGTGTGCTTGTGCGCGCGCGCGCGCGTGTGCCTGTGTGCTTGCGTGTGTGCGTTTAAACATATACAAGAAATTTCACAAATTCTGTTTAATTTTCTCGCGATTTGGAGGTCAGATCCATGATGTTATTAATTGTTAGAATTAGTGTATGTTTGAGTCCCGATGAGTTGTCCGTATGCTGTCAATTGGCGGTTCATGTAGCTTCGCGGCCGACGACAAGCTCGAGTCACGTGCGTGCGATCGGGAATCTTCGGCACGATCGACGGCCGGACCGGGCGCTCGACGCACGGGAGCAATTACTCTATTCGGAAAGTTACGATCGATAGCACGTACCGGTTAGAGATCAACTGTGCTTCGAATTCGTCTGTGAATTTAACTCTCTCGTGCTGAACTATCGCTTAGAACCGGACTCGATATTTAGACGCACCGAACGCGACTACCGCTCTCGCGCGATTTAGTGCTATCGCCGTCAACTGTATCGAAATTCCGCCGTTCTTCTATTCCATCTTAGAATCAATCTCCTAGGGTGTATCTTATATATTTCCTTCTTTTTCAGGCACTCACGATGATGAGATCGAGTCTCGCGACTCGTCATACTGAGTGAGCCTCTCCTATTTTAAAATTCCTTCCTTAAGACAACGTCCTGACGGTCACGGTATCGGACAATACGTTCGGTGCGAGAAATCCGATGGCGTTTTCTGCCCGAGTCAAGCGCGCGAGGTCGGATAATATTGGTATAAACGCTTGTCGGTCACCTTCCGCGAATAACGAACGGGAGCCGTTTCCATCGAGAGTCTACACGAAACGCGACAATCTCTACGCCACTCTCGTGGCGGTACCGGCAATTCGTCGCGCATTAACTTTGCGATTCCAACGCATGACAGTGTAGTTCTTTAAATAATTTACAGTTATTTTCCAAATATTTATATAACGCATCAGACATGAAATTTTACACTATTATGCTATAAAATGGGATGGTATTAATTTACTGAACATTTTATACAAATACAAAATTGTAAAAGTATCTTGCACACGATTGTTCAATTCCATACTCTTCCAAAAGAAACAATGCATTAGACGAGTTATGTATATTTATTTGATAAATGCAGTATACATGTTATAACATATATGAATATAATACACAGGGTGCCCCAGAGCTCGCGCACCGAATATACACTGGTCAAAAAAATTAACGCAACAAGAAATTTACATCAAAATTTCGCGAATTTCAAATAAGCGTAACTTCGCGAAAACTGGTCGAATTGAAAAGTTTTTTTTTCATTTTATAGGGCAAAGCCTCTGCTTTAAGAAGCTCTAATTGGAATTTGCATTCACTCTTCCCATTTCCCGGAACTTTCACAAAATCAAGATCATGTTTTTTCTCTAAAAAGTTGCACACTTTGACGCACTGTGCGGAGTGTAGTAATTTTTCTTCGCCAGTTCTGCTTACGGTATAAAAAAGTGTATACTTTTCTCATCAATTTAAAAAAAGAAGTTTCTAGGATTTTTTCGCCAAATCACAGCTTATTGAAATAACCATTGTGTTTTCGACATTACCGACGATATCTCCGTTAAAACTCATCGTAGCAAGATCGTTTTTTTTTTATTAAAGCTTGCACTTTCCGCTTCAAAAACTAGTCACCAGATTTTTCCTCGAATGCATCTGCGCTGCTGTAGCTTTTAAAATGCAAGGACATGTTTTTACCTAAAAAATAACCAACTTTAGCCAGGTGCCCGGGCGTAAGAAATTTTTCCTCGCTAATTCTGCTCGAAGTATCAAAAAGTGTGTACTTTTCCCTTCAATTAAAAAAAAAGAAGTTACTGCGATTTTTTTCGCCAAGTTACAGCATTTTGAAGTAACCCTTGTATTTTCGTTCATTACCGTCGACATCAGCGTAACCCAATGTGCACGAGGAGGTTGCCGTTCGGATTTTGCACATCGTGTGGCCCTGAAGAGGGCCAGTGGTGTATTCATATCGAACATACTGGGATATGATGGGAAGAAGGCTGAGTGACTTGTAGGACCACACGATGTGCAAAATCCGAACGGCAACCTCCACGTGCACACTGGGTTACGCTGATGTCGACGGTAATGAACGAAAATACAAGGGTTATTTCAAAAAGCTGTAACTTGGCGAAAAAAAATCGCAGTAACTTCTTCTTTTTTTTAAATTGAAGGGAAAAGTACACACTTTTTGATGCTTCGAGCAGAATTAGCAAGGAAAAATTTCCTACGTCCGGGCACCTGGCCAAAGTTGGTTAGTTTTTAGGTAAAAACATGTCCTTACATTTTAAAAGCTACAGCAGCGCAGATGCATTCGAGGAAAAATCTGGTGACTACTTTTGAAGCTGAGAGTGCAAGCTTTAATTTAAAACAAGAACGATCTTGCTACGATGATTTTTAACGGAGATATCGTCGGTAATGTCGAAAACACAAGGGTTATTTCAATGAGCTGTGATTTGGCGAAAAAAAATCGTAGGAACTTCTTTTTTTTTTAAATTGAAGAGAAAAGTATACACTTTTTGATACCGTAAGCAGAACTGGCGAAGAAAAATTACTACACTCCGCACAGTGCGTCAAAGTGTGCAATTTTTTAGAGAAGAAACATGGTCATGATTTTGAGAAAGTTCCGGGAAATGGGAAGAGTGAATGCAAATTCCAATAAGAGCTTCTTAAAGCAGAGACTTTGCCCTATAAAATGAAAAAAAAAACTTTTCAATTCGACCAGTTTTCGCGAAGTTACGCTTATTTGAAATTCACCAAATTTTGATGTAAATTTCTTGTTGCGTTAATTTTTTTGACCAGTGTAT